TTAATTTCACCTGTGTGTGTGTGGGGGAACATAACATAGCCTTGCACCTGGGAGCATCAGAAGTCATCGTGAGGTAACACAGGAAAATTTGACATTGTGGCGGGCACATGGCCGATGCTGGCTTCTATTATTACTTTCACATTGCCAGTATTGTCTTTTTCTGGGAGAAGGTCTCTTGGCACCTTAAATAAATCTTGAAGATCCAAAAAAGATCCAAAGAGTAGACCAAATCATCCTTCTGTTTTCCATGAGCAGATGATTCACACAATCACTCATTAAATATTTATGAAGCGTGTACTGTGTCCTAGGTGCCAAGTCAAGCCCTTGGGGATACCATGGTTTTTCAGTGAAGCATAATGTCTGTAAGCTAACTAATAAAACAGATTTTAGAAGATTGCTTTTAGACTCAGAGTATCAGGTGAATGTCGAATAACTCTGGAAGGACTCCTCTCTTGGACCCCGAGCAGACGGCCAGATTCCCCTTTCTCTGGTTAGCTTCAAGGAACCATGAGGTTCTTCTAAATTCTTGACTAGTAATTTGGATATTACATCTTTAAAATCAGCATCTGTTGCCTATTTGTGTCTCGTGGGAGATTAACCAATGTTCATAAAGGAATATCCTCTGTGGCTTTGCCATAAAAAAATGTACAAGAATGTTATTTTTATGAGGTTCTGGCAACTCTAAAAGCACTTCTGAATGTCTTTCTTACTCAAAGTCTATGTAAACTTCAGGAGAGGTTTCGCAGACCTGAGAGCTCCATTTTGGAGCCGGGAAGCATGAATAATTGAAGGGTCATATCTGTAAAGGAACAAATGTCAAAAACAAATTGACAACTATTCTTCAAGCAAAGTCTGCTTTATTTTCAAAGGTCAGCTTGGTAGTTCTCTTGAGTAAGTTCTGAAATCATAACTTCCCATTTTCACATTTCACATGCACTACAGGAAAACACATTTTTGCTAAGTGTTAAGGGCTCCCATGCCCCTGGTAACAGACGTTCAGCGAGTGCGCTGTGCCCTGGGAGGAACTGCACACAGCTGCCCGTCTTTCCCTCTAGCCGAGGGGCCCAGAGCGCAGTGCTGTTCCTGCTGGCTGCCCGGCTCTGCAGGAAGAGAGGCTGTTTACTTTAAGGGGGCATTTATGCCCTTGCGGCATTCTGTCTGAGCAGAAACTGTGGCTGTGGCACGAACTCGTACTGAATAAGGCAGAGACTCAAAGGCCAAGTCTAAGGCATGTGTGAAAATGAATAGAGGGAGACCCTCATTTGAAATGGAGTTGGGAAGCCCCGAAGGGACTTCGAGCTTTCTATGGCAGCCTACGCCATGCTCCTGGGCAGGAAGAAGTTCACTTTACTGCTCCCGCAGAAGGAAGGAAGATTTTCTCCCTGACAAGCAATAGCCTAGCCAAGGAGAAACATTGCCACCTTGAACTCTTGCTTTAGACTTTTAGACTCTAATAGACTTTCCTTCAAAGCAGCTTTTCCCAACGTTCTCCTTTTTCTCTACAAGGTAACGCTCCTCTCCTTTGTTCTCCAGGCTTGCCTATGCTTTGCTGCAGCTTGCATGTCCCAAATTGCCATTCCTCTGCTATTCCTCAATAAAATCTTTTTGCTGATAAAACAACCCACTCTTTTGTTGTAGAGGTTAACACATGCACTTACTTTCGTATGGCCTGGGGCAAGTTTTCTAGAACTAGGCATTGGTCAGGCCATCTTTCCCTGCTGTGCAACTGCAGTTATGCCTCTAGCTCTGCAGATGCATCTCGGCCTCTCCACCTCAGCTGGAGCTGTGGGGGTCCAGCACGTTACTTCCCGGCTCTAAGCCCCAGTGTCCATGTGCGAAAGGTGGGGAACAGCAGTGTCTATACCTCAGGAGGCTATCATGAGAAGTAAAGGGTACTTGCAGGTGTGGGTCACAGGAAGGTGAAATAAATATTAGCTATGATTATTTTTATCCTAGAAGTCTAAAGATGGGAGGACCTCCTTCCCTGTGAACCAGCCTTCAAAACCATCTTCACAGGTTCTGCAGAAAGGCACTGATAGGGAGGAAGCCTGGGTCCTACTTGCAGCTGGGGCTCTGATCGGGCATTTGACGTTAAGCAAGGTCAAGTTGAGGGTATTGGACTGCATCACTGTTCTTAGCTGGTTCATCAGAGCCCCAAGGCAGGGTTCTGAGACCCTAACTTCCCCTTTAGCCAGAGCAGTTCTGCTTTTAACTCTTTTATATGTTGGAATTTCATACGAAATTCATTTGAAAGAAAAGTTTTCACTGCTTATAAATATAGTTTAAGAGCCACTGCCCAAGGTGACTGATCACTGTTTTAGTTGCTAAAATGTGAGGGTCTAGGTTCAATACTCTCATTGTCAAATTTTAGAAATATACCTAATATACTAAAATACTGGAACGAGGGAAAACTGAAAGTAAGACTTCAATGAATTACTCATTTTTTTTCAAAGATGGTATAGAAAAATGGCCTTATGAAGAACATTTCTCTCCCCCTTTTTCCCTTTCTCCCTTCCTGTCTTCCCTCTAACAAAAATTTAGGGAGTAGCTAATAATCTTTAGAAATTGCATGGGGTACTTGGGATCCAGGAGTGAGCACACTGATAAAGTTTCTGCTTTTAAAAACTCACAGGCTACGTAGGAAAGAAGACATTAAACAACAAATCACGAATGACAAACTGTGAAAAGGGCACGAAGAAAATGTACAAGGCGAAGGGAGATGGACCTACTTAGATAAGCTTGTCTAGAAAGGCCTTTGAGAAGGCAGGTGACAAGCAAATACCCAGGCCTGGCAGCTCGGCAATCCAGGGATCCTGTCTCTCAGTCAGGCCCTCGCTCCCTCAGATTTGGTCAGCACAGCAACTTTGCCCCCAAGCCCCTCACTCCCATGGAGAAAATGCTGCCACTTGTCATTCCTGACAAGCATGGATGGGCAGGGGAGGCAGGTCCAGTGCTGAAACAGGGGACTAGAGGTCTGCTCTTCCCCTCCCCCTTAAAGAACTTAGGTACTTAGCCCTTGAGATGTTTCAATTCGGTTTTTTTTTCTGTAGATCAGGAACTCTCAAGAGAAAAATAAAATTTCAATTCCTGATTTTATATATATTATTTTTGGAGTAGGTAATTTAGATACTTGGTTCAAAATCAAAAAAGTATAACAACAGTGGTTGGGCTCTGGGGCCGGGCTGTTTGGATTCCCATCCCAGCTCTGCTGAGGACTGGTGGTGTGACCCTGGGCAAGGCATTCAAGAACTTCGTACCTCAGTCTTCTCAGCTGTAAAGAACAACAATTACACATGCACACAAACAGTACCTTCCTTGTGGTGTTGCCGTGACAGCTAATGTTAGAACTTAGCACGGTGTCCGGCATATCTCCCTAAATTCCTGGTATCGTGGGACAGAAGCCCAGGAAGAGGCCCGGACTGCCCGCAACCACGTCTCCCTCTTGCTTCTGGTGATATAAACTGGATACTTGAACCCATCATTTTTCCTTGACCAACAATTTATAAGAACACTACTTTGGCATATTGATATGTTGTCTAAAACTAAGCCAATGACATGTAAAGAGTCACCAAATAGGAAACACTAATTTTTGATAATATTAATTAGCTACAAACCACTCGAGCAGATCAGAAAAAGGGAAAGGGACAGCTGATAGAAACCGAGGCTGACAGGCAGGAAGGGCGCCAGATCTGGTTAATATCGGCCAGAACATTTCTACAATCTTCTGAATTTAATTTGTTAATTTGCCCTCGATGGAAGTTCTGTTTACCTTCAACATAACTGAGCTCCTGCTGTCAAAACCTCACTTGGCAATGCTGACTTGAAGCCATCCTTTTTCAGCTAATTCTCACTAATATATATCTCGGGTGCCTTTGCTCAAGGACCACGCTCTCTATTCCTGTGGTTTATTTAAGACACTTAACATAACATATTATTTGTTCTCTCACAGCAAGGTCTCCTCCTGACAGCCAAGATTCTATTTTTCTGTCATAAGTAATTATAAATGTACACCTCTAAAAAGATTCCCAATTTGAGGGGCATAATCTATTTCAGACAGTAAATCACGGCGACATCTCCATCCCTTGGGCAGCAAAAATGTACAACTCAGATGTATGAGCTTTCACTCTGAATTTTCCATACCTGAAGAAAAATGGGATGCTCCACTTTCTCTCTGGGGCAGTTAGGGGGGGAAAACCTGGCACCTTTGTTGGAGCAATTTATATTGGCTTCAGTTCCTATATTATTATTATTTTTTAACTTCAGATAGCATGCTTCCCTCTTCAGAATCCCAACTCAAAAAGCCGTCCCAGGGAGTCGCACTCTGAGGTTGTTTGTCACTCCAGTTATGCACTTTAGACTCCCCTCTACCCTTCCATCCCAATCCCTCTGTTTCCACCAAAGGCTTCTTTTCCCTTCCTCCTCTATGCACTCCTGACAATCACGTTCCCTGCTCACAACCAACACCTGATGGTTCATTTCTATGACTCTCGCCAACAAAGGGAGGCAGGCAGATTTTCATTCCTGCTTCCTTCCCATTCCTCCACCACTAACACCACTTGCTATAACTCTGTACCAGCCTTATCTTTAAAGACAAGTATCCTTGTATGCATGAAAACATGTATCTAGTGATCTAGGAGCATCGGGTCTGCTTTATAATAATATGAACAGCTAGTAAGTGCTTTGTGCACAGTATACCTTATTGAATCTTCATGAAAAACTTTCAGGTGGACACTATTATCAGTCTTACTTTACAAATGCAGTAACCAAAAGCCTAAGGGCCACACAGCAGGAATTGGTAGAGCCAGAATCCAGATGAAGATCAGTTTGATACCAAAGGACTTATCATCCTATAAAATGAGGCACAGGGTATCTCATTTTGGGGCTGTGAGCCTAAATGATTAGCATTTAATAAAAACAGTGGCATCTCAAAGTGACTGATTTTCTCTATTTGTAGTTAATGATTTTTATTTTTTTATGCATAACATTTTCCATGGTCCCACCTTGAGCACTCAAGCTTCCAGAAGAATCCAGATGCTGGTCTGTTGGCTGTTGACTGGGAGGAACAATCGGTGGGCTCAACATATTTAACCAGTCCCTAAAAAGACAAGAAGAAAGTAAATAAACAACAGGTCTGCAATTTCAATATATAAATTTTACCTTTCCCTTGCATTTTTCATTTCCTGGGGCTTCCACAAAGAAACATTTTTTCCCCCTTCTTCATATTTCAGAAGGACAGACGGTCCAGAAGTTAATATTCAGTTCTATAAACGGATTAATATAATGTCAATCACTGAACTAACCAGTTGTTCCACAAATACATCAACTAGATTAAAGATGACTATTCCTCTTGAAAGTTTCTTATTGTGGGTATTAAAGTGTACACAGCTCCTCTCCTATAAGAAAATTATTTCAGTAACTCAGAAGAAGTGCAGCAGAGACAAAGCTTCTTATGATCTTTGGGTAAGGATAGCAAAGTCGCATGTCACCTCCGTGACAGCATTACAGATGTGACCCAAAACAGAAGCTGGTCTTGGAGCGGTCAGGGACCAGCCACAATGGCAGGGTCAGCAGGCACTCACTCAGATCTTCAGAGCATCGGAGGGCAAAAGAAGGTAGAGTGAGGGGAGCAGAGGCCCTGAGGGACCCATTCCTTCAGTTCTCCTATTAAGAACGGGGGCAAAACTACTCCTCCGTTCCCTGTTCTCTGCCTCCAACTGCCAAGCTCGTTTTCCAAGTTCTTTACTCCCTTCCTCCTCCATTCTTTTCTGGTCTTCCCAGTCCCTCTAGGAGGTGCCTGCATGGGTGTGATGCAAGAGGGTGACATCCACAGGGCATGAGTCACTGTGTGTTCTACTTCAAGCCTTTCTTGTCTCTCAACTTGTTAGTGAGCTTCTTCAGGGGAAGGGAGCAGGAAGGGAGAGTGAAGGCTCTTCTAACGTGAACTCTCTTTCTTGCATTGATATTAGCATCTGTTTTGTTTACCTTATTATTCTCAACAGGAGCATGTTCTCATGACTAAACAACTTCTTTCTAAATTTCTGTATTTCTGTCTTTATCTACAGTGGGAGCCAGTCCCAGCAGGAAGTAAGAACACTGGTTTGCCCCGTCAGTCCTGGAGCCATGTTTCCCCATGCAAAAGCTTGGCCACACTGCTTACATCATAAGCCTCTTCAATAAAGAGGAGATAATGACAGTACCTCAGAGTTTTGTTGTTGGGACTAAATGACACACACACACACACACACACACACACACACACAAAGGGTGAAAAACATTTGGCATGGATCTGGGTACAGAGTCACATTCAGTAGATTTTAGCTATGACCACCATCGTCTTCATTATTGGTGAAAATCATAGTGTGTCTTTCCCTACAGTGATAAACCAAGACAGCAGGAATTGGATTTTGTTGGAATTAAACCAATCAAGGAGGGAAGAATGGTTACAAGTCTCTATAGCAGAGGTTTTCCATGAAAGTCGTTCACTCTTCCTGCAAAAAAAAAGTATCTCAACGTAAAAATTACCTAATTCTTATTTGTGATATTTTAAGACACTTTCAGTTACTCCTCACCTTAGCTATCACTATGGCTAGTGAAATAAGCAAGGTGAACGTGCTGTATAATTGAATTTCATAACAACACATTAAGGACATCAGAAAGGAATTGTCGCAGATTTCCAAGCTAATGGGGCATTTTCTGATAAGCACCTTTCATTTAGTCCATTTCATTACTGTAGACCCAAATCCCCACATTATAGAAAATTACAAGGTCACATACAAATTACCAGCCCTGGCGACCTCATTACTCAGCAAGAGTGCTGAAGAGCAATGAAGAACACCAGCAACAGAAATAATAGTGTTATCATATGATGACATCCTCTGTGACAAATCAGAAACTCTAAACACCGGCAGGAGGAGCTCCTACTCACGGTCCATGGACATGGGGGTTGTGTGACTGTTATAAAAGGTAAGATATTCACTTCTTAGGCCAATGACTTGATTGATTAGTGTTTTTCCTTCTCTGTAGTAGCTATGAAAAGTGCAGAGTTCTTCCTTTTGTGATTTTTTTGGTTGTTTAAAATAATTTCAGATTTATAGCTTTTCTGTAAGAAAAGTACAAAGAGTACTTCTTCTTTGCAAGAAGAGTACAAAGAACTCCTACATATCCTTCATCCAGACTCCCCAACTTAAACACTTTATCTATCATCTATCTATCTATCTATCATCTATCTAGCTATCATCATTTCTCTAAATGGGATTGGCAAACTATGGCCTGTGGGCAAAGTCTGGCTCAATGCCTGTTTTTGCACAGCCTGCAAATCGAGAATGATTTTTACATTTTTAAAGGTGGGTGAAAAAATTAAAGTAATAATGTTTCATGACATATGATAATTATATAAAATTCAAATGTCAGTGTCTATAAATAAATTTTATTGGAATAAAGTCATGTTCACTCGTTATGTATTGTCTATGGCTGTTTTTGTGCTATAATGACAGAATTAAGTATTTGTTATTTGGCCCTTTACAGAAAAATGTTTGATGATCCCTGGTCTAAAACTGTGGGCTCATTTCTTCAAAACTAATACAATACCATAGATTCATTCTCATCTCTCTTCTTTCCATATTTGTAACTCCTTTTGACAGTAAGGAACCTGGCTCCCATTATCCTCAATAAATTTACTTATTTTCTGAACTATAGAACGTGTCAAAAGTAGTTTCAGAACTGTTAAGCAAACAAAACAAAACCAAACAACCAATAGAAAACCCCAAACCTACTCTCTAGAGTTCTGTTCATGATTCTTTTTATTCCTTTGTTAAAATAGTATAAAACAGTAAAATAGTATGGTCTAAATTTACTCAGGTTAGTTCCTCTCCTTCCTCTTCAGTGTGGTTGTATGATTTGTTTAAAATGTAGTTGGAGTCATCCACTTCTGTTTTTTTCTCCATTAACTATTGATTTTTATTATTTTTGTTGTTGAGTATGTAAAATGTTAACAGTTCAAAAGTCAAAAAACACAAAGAGTCATATTCAGGTAAGAGTCACATTTCCCCCATGTCTCCCAGTCTGTTTCCAGCCCCTTATCACTTCCACGCCATCCCTACCAGCCCCTCTGTAGGAAATCAATTTCATTCTGGTATCTCCTATGTTTCTTTTCGCAAAAAGTAAGCAGATACGTGTCTAATGCAAAAGGTAGCATATTATAATGACTCTTGCACTTTCATCTTTCAACTTAAAATATAACCTGGAAATCATTCACCCCCCAGTTCATAGAGAGCATTTCATTCCTTTTTTTTTTTTTTTGAGAGCATTTCATTCTTTTTCATGGCTGCGTAGTACTCCATGTGTGGCTATGCTATCATGTATTTCCCCACTCTCTCATGTTTGAGCGTGTTTTCAATATTTTGCAATTACTGCAATTAATGCTGCAGTGAATAACTTTGAGCTACTGATTTTTGTATACTTGGAGATATATCTTCAAGGTAAATTCCTAGAAGTGGAATTTCTAGGACAAAAGGTAAATAGACACTTGGTTTTAGATACTGACAAATTCCCTCCTCAAGGGCTGTGCCATCTGCATTCCCACCAGCCATGCGGGTCAGTGCTGGTTTCTCCACAGCCATGTCATAAGAGTATGTTGTCAAGTTTTTAATGCTTTCCAATCTGAGAGATAAAAGCTGGTATCTTAAAGTAGTTCTGATTTGCATTTGTTCTCAACATGAGCATTATGAATGGAGTCGACTGTCTTTTCATGTGCATAAGGCCATTATGTAATATGTAGGTATATGCATATATGCATTTTATATCTCTATTTTTTGTGTGTATTCATGTCTTTGCCCCTTCTTCTATCAGGTTTTTTGTCTTTTCCCTTCCCCTTGTCATGTGTCTTTGCTTACACTGGTTTTTTTTTTTTTTTGCCATGCAAAAGTTTAAAAAAAATTTTTCTGTAATCAAACATATTACTCTTTTCTTTTATTGCCTCTGTACTTTGAGTTATAGTACATGGTGTGAGTTTATTCTGGTGTAAGGTGAATCTAATTTTATCTTTTAAAAATGACTACAGAGTTTTCTTGACAAGTGATATTATTTTAACTTAAGACTCAGAAGATTTTATACAATTAAGAAATTTTGATCAAAGCAATGTGCTTGCTTGGCTTTTACTAAGTATGCATTTATAAAGTGTATTTTGAAAAAAAAGGGTTCTTGGTTAACTATAAAATATGGAAAATATTGGGCTAAACACAGTCAACCAGGACTTTTTCTTGCAGGACTTTTGAGAGTTTTAGCACACTGTGAATCTCCCAAGAGGAGGACAGCCCCCATGCATGCATCTAGAACTGTCACATTTTTGGGGATCATAAGTCCATAGACCACACCTTGAGAAATGCTGCTTCAGGTTATACTACTTCCCCATCCTGGTGGCATTGTTTTTGTTTGTTTTATTTTTATTTTACTTTGTATATGTTTAACAATTTTTTGGTGACTTGTTGGTAAGCACAGGTGCATAGTCTAGCACCTGTATCTTATATGCTTACATTTTCATATGTGATATTTAATACTAATTGACTTGACCCTTGATCAACTTCTTTAAACTCCATGCCTTCCTAACTCAGGAAGCAGCAAACATCTAAGGAAGTGGGAGTTTAGCTGAGGCACACTCACAGCATGTGAGCCCCAGCTAGAGTTCTGAACGTCTCCCTGGTCTGCTCTTACCTCAGCTGCTATGCTCTGGAATCTGTTCTTGCTCTTTGTTCAACCATTTTCATACTTGTCTTATCTTTTGCACTTGACACTCTGGTTGCTTTCCTCAGCTCTGATTATAACCCTTTTCTCCCGAGGACTGACTCTATCTACCTGTTATGAAAGCCTCTAACTCCTTTGGTGGATGAACAACACCCTTTTCAGTCAGGCCTGCTCTCTGAGTATGTTCAGGTACTGTTGTGTCCTCTCCTTTCCTCTTGTGGACTCAGGCAGGCCTCCCATCCCTGCCTCTCCTCTTGAAACTAGAGAAAGGACCACCAGGCACACCTATGCATGCTGAGTACTGTCACTAGAAGATGTGTTTTATTTAAGAGTCAAGGCAATGGATTCACATAAATA